CTTTTACCTTGGCGGGATCCGCTCTAAGGCCTTGCTTACCAATAAAGCACCCTAAAAAGGGAATCTCTTCTGCACCAAAAATGCACTTAGACGCGTTGGCGTACAACTTATTCGTGCGCATGCACTCGAGCACCGCTCGTAAATGGTCGATGTGATTATCCACATCTGACCGACCGTTCATAGCACGACTATGGACAAAGATGTCATCAAAGTACGTCTGTGCATAACCTCTGTGAGGTCTAAACAATTGTGTCACAAGACGGTTGAATGTAGCCGGGGCATTTGATAGCCCTTGCGGCATAACGAGCCACTCCCAGAGCATACCGCTTGGAGTGCTGACCGCTGTCAGCGGAATATCGCTTTCTCGCATGAGAAGCTGGTAATAACCATCGACTAAGTCGAGCGCACTGTACATTGTACATCCCACCATATTGTTCTGAAGAACATCCTTCCTCGGAATTGGTGTCTGAGCCGGGATGGTGGCCGCATTAAGCTTATTGTAAGCATGAACAATGCGCCACTTCCCGTTGGGCTTTTTGACACAGAAAGTCGGTGTGGAATGGGGAGATTTGCTCTCACGAACCATCCCTGCTGCGTGCTTTGCACGAAAGAAGTCGTCTATGACGTCACACTGTTCCTTGGGCAAAGGCCACTGCCGTGTTACGCAGTATTTAGTTCCAGGAACCAAGTCAATTTCATGACGCACACCTCTATCAGGAGGTAATACAGACGGTGGGTCGTGACACACCACGTCTTGAAATTCCTTTACCAAAGGATAAAACGGATCAAGAGGATCCTTAAGGATCGAGGATCCACTACGGGCATCCAATGCCGCCTTTGTGTCCTCAAGGACAGACTCGTCCAATAACGAGGATGAGTTCAACTCAGTATCAGGCCGAATGACCACTAACTCGGAGAATTCTCCTGCCTGCAAGGCTTGGCTAAATTCGCCGTCAGACATCTCGTCTAGCTCACATATTTTATCCACGGATGGAAGAGTCTCAAGACTAATGTTGCCATCGATATGGCCAGTCACTCCATTGACAAGTGTATACAGTGTATCATTACTATTATCACTCCGTGACTTCTTAAACGTTGGGCGCTTAACAGTCACCACCCTACGCTTCGATTGTTTCTTCAAAGAAACCTTACGCCTCTTAGAGGCCGGGACATCAAAGTCCCCATGGTTGCTATTCATCTTAGCACGCTCTATACGAGAGCTCATGTCTTGAGCGACATCTGGTGAAGTGTTACGTAACTCGAACACTTCACCCAGTGATTTTACACGTACCACTTCACGTACATTATTCGTGCCTAGCCCTAAACACTCTGGCTTCTCGCCAACAATGTCATTACCGACATTCAGTGAGGTGCCACATCGGCCGCCCTCAATCTGTGTAATTTCACGTGCCACCGCACTTATAGCATTAGGGCCTAGCCCTGAACACTCTGGCCTCTCGCCAACAATGTCATTACCGACATTCAGTGAGGTGCCACCTCGGCCGCCCTCACTCTGTGTATTTTCACGTGCCACCGCACTTACATCAGAGGAATTACATTCTTGATGTTTCGGTCCTAGGCCAACCATGCTTGACGCATGCAGTGACTCAGTATCACAACGAGTATCACTCAACGGAGTATAACTCTCTCCAAACGCGTTAGAAGAGCTCCGCTCAATATATATGTCATCGACATTCGAGTTAAATAACTCTGACATACCAATGTCCAGCACATTGACATCTTCCGTCAATGGCTCGCGCCAATAGCGCTTTTGTTGCCTAGCAAAGGTGGGTTCATGACTCTCCAAAGCTTCGCTAGGAACATTGCGCGTTGCGCCTAAGGTCTTAGTCCTCCAATCAATCCATGGCTCATGGCGTTCAAGCCAAGCCATACCTAGGATGAGATCATATCTCGAATCCAAATCGAGGACGAGACAACGTTCAATGCTGTCAAAGTCCAAAAACTTCACACCTAAGTTCAACGGAACTTTAGGCACCGTGACGCGACTACCAGTCGCTAAACGAACGGTGATCGAATCACCTTCGTGCGCTTTGAGCGCTTCAGCGTATCGCTGACTTCCCTCAAGGGAACGACGTCGAGCATAGTTACATGATGCTCCTGAATCGATTAAAATCGACCACGGCTTCTCAAAGCCTTTTACTGTCGCCTCGGCGACTAACAAGCCAGGCTTGTATCCACGCTCTGTGCTGGCTGGCACAGCGCTAAGTGGGGCTAAGCCCTGTTTCACTTTATCTCGTAGAGATGTGACAGAACTTAGTTCTACCCCAGTAGGGCGCGGGGCGCCCTACTGGGTGTCGACGTTTCCCCGTGCCATACCAGGTTTCTGGTTGAGGCTGGGGTTTCGACTCATAGGAGTCGGTTGTTGCTTACGCAAGGGACAAGTGGGACGCAAGTGTTTAGTGCTTCCGCACGTGTAACAGCGTCTCACGTCCTGTCGTTGCTCCGCAACATGAAGCTCCGCTTCGCCTTCATCTTCAGCATGGCTGAGATCCATCGGTTCAGGCTTACAGTAAGCCGAAGCCCTCGCAAAGCTTGGGTTGTACCCATTCCAACCAAGTCTGGCCGACTTGAAGTTGTTGTCAGCATTTTGAGCGACGCTCACAGCTTCCTCGAAGGTAGAGGGATGAACCCGAAAAACCTCGGTTCTGGCCACGCCAGTGCGGAGACCTTCCATGAAGACTGTCACGTAGACAGTCTCAGGGAGAGGGTCAGACTGCATAGCAGCCATTAGAGCTCTCAACTCTTGGACATAGTCCGTTAACTCGCTCTTACCCTGACGGGTAGACAAGAAGCGTGAGCGCACGCGATATGCCTGGTTAGGCGGCGAGAAAATTCGCATGAGGTCTAACTTGAGCGATTCCCACGTGGGAAATGCCAAATTGACCGACGTGCCACACGTCAAAGCCCACTCCCTAGCTCTACCATCGAGCTTAGAGATGGCCAAAGAGACCCGCTGGTTCTCTAGTGAGATGAGACCAGAGTCCATGGCCATCTCAATCTCACGAATCCAGAGGGTCAAGTTCTCCCCCTCCTTCCCGGAGTAAAGTTTAACATCTACCCGAAGGGGACGAGGCTTAGCCTCTTCTGGTGGCATAGCCACGTAGCGTGTCGGCATAGCCGACGCTACTTGGTTTTGAACCTGGCCCAACAGGGCCGTTTCATACTGCATAAAGGCCTCGACTCGTGCATTGAGCACATCGGGACCCTGTGCAGCTAGAAACTCCACATTCTCTAGGCCTACGGCCGAGGTCAGCTTATCAAGCGCGACCTTTTGAGCCTCAGAGAGGGGTGTGGATTGCTCCATCCTCGCAGAGGATCAGTCGTTACCGACTCAGGTGTAGATTGACTACAAGTGCTACCAAGTGTAGCGGAGCTACACAGCTCCTTAAGTCAGAGGAAGACTTTACGCTCAATGAGCAACTTTGGTTCAAAGAACCCGACTCAGAGAGTCAACAGCTCAGAGAGCTTAAAGGTGGTTCAGAGAACCCGACTCAGAGAGTCAACAGCTCAAAGAGCTTACGGTCCCTGTTCCAGGGGGACCAAACGATTCAAAGAATCGAACGCACTAAGTGCACAAGGAGTGGCTGCCTTAACAAGGCGTTGCCACTTCCTTACGATCGCAAGACGCCTCAGAGAGGCACGTGTCTTTTGTTGATCAAAATGGGAACTGAATTTTATTTCTTCATTTAACCTAAAAGAACACCTTAGAACAACGTATTTAACCTGCCCTAAATAACCTCTTAAAAGATCTTGCAATCAATTGATGACAGACACCAGTCTTCAACAATTGATACGCTCACTGTGTTCTAATATTACCTTATAGGGTACCCCCCTCTCGTGTGTGCACCACACCTATCGTCGGCTACCAGCCGACGTGTAACCCCGTTACATATATCCCCTCCAAACTAAATGTCATTTCGGTATTTATCATACACAACAAGATCGCATACGAAACGCGTTACAGCCGCAAGCTCTAGTAAGCTTTAACAGGGGTTCCCCTGGTGCCTTGGATAAGCATATAATAACTACGTTCTCCGGGTGTATAACATCCGGATGGTACTTTCAGGAAAGTGTCTCTGGGTCGTGCTGAAGTTGTCCAGTCGGGTTATATCGATCACGGATACATAACGCGCGAATGATGCCAAGATGCTTGGCAATATTGCTGAAGGCGTAGATTTCTAGCAGCAAATTCAGACACGGTCAGCAGCGAGTATGACGGACGGATTCTGCATTGCTCGGTTCATACCAGGAAATTAAACACAAGAGCGGTGAAGAATATTTTGTTGATTCAGAATGGAGTATGTGTGAGAAACGTATCATCGGTTAACTTGTACATAGTGGTGGTATAGCCCATATACCATACTGCCGTCTTGTTTTGAAGAATGTCCAGCTGCAGCGGGTTGCATCACAACCAATGGAACGTCTCTGTTGTGATAAACATAAGAGTGCGGTAGATGAACTCAAGTCAAGGGTAAGTTACTTGGTGTATCAGCTCGGCGCGTTCGTAGCGACAACAGTTTGTTATGGCCATCAGCACCCAACTGTTCTCTTTTGTCGTTCGTCGTACTGTGTGTCATGTGTTGTGTGTCGTTGACTGTGTAAAGTATCCACCAACACCGCTGTTTTATTTTCTATTGGCCTCATCAACACTGCAGCACGCCATGCCACATATTTTTTTACGTGACTAGAGTCGAAAGCGCGAGCCGTCTCTGTCTTCTTGAAAGCCCAGCAGAAGCTAAAACTCTTCATCCAGCAATGCTTTTATCTACCGCTACCGACATGACAAGTACATGTAAAGTCCGACACAACAAAAAAGCGACATGATCTGCAAACTGCTGGCTCATCGTCGCCCACGTGCACATTACATTAGCTTCAAACTCACCCAGCTATTTGCATCCGTAGCAAGCAAAAATGTCCACCTCTCTCGACTGACCCTGGAAGTCCTTCCCACTCGCTTTGCTTCATTCTACTTCATGTCTTCATTCGATTTCAAGCATCGCTCGAATTTCATCTGGCGTGTGCAACAGAACAACACAATGGCTCGATTCTGCTGACGGTACCAAGACTGACGTTAACGACGCCGGTTCGTTACTGACAGTGTATCCGTTCTTCGCGTCGTACACGAACTCGTAGATAAGCGCATAGGCGCTAGCAAGCGTCGCAGACGTGAATGCACGGGCCTTGTCAGAGAGCACAGGTTGAGCAAGGCTGTCCAGCTGTGGAAACGTCAGTGCACTAAGTGAAGCACAGAAATCTCGCATCACGCTTGTGATCGTTTCGCCATCGAGACCAGGCATATCCGCTGGCAATGCATCTGGCCTCGTTTCTACGGGTCCACAGCTTTGTTGGAATTCGTTAATATGCCGAACAAGCGTGGACACACGGCACCGGTCCATCACACGTGAGGCCTGCAGCTCACTCAATTCTCGCAGCCAGCCATCCAGATCCTCGCCTAATTTCAAGTACCATCTCATCACTTCAGGGAACCGCGCCAGCGGGGCTTGTAGACAGCTAAAGTTATTGATCCGAAACACAAGCACTTCGACAGGGTCTAAACCTCTCACGCTGCGGTGACTCATCAGCTCGACTGCAGGCAAGATCTTATCAAAGAGAGGTGCTACATCAGCTTCCTCCTCTTGCTCCGGTAGCAGCGAGGTCTGAAACACTTCCAATAGCGCCACCAATCGATGAGAAACATCCAGCACTGCGTGCGTTGCTGCGAGGTTGGCGGTATAATTCGGTGCGGCGACGCTGTCCACAAGCTGCTGGAACTGGCGACGAAACGCTTCATTCGCGACTTCACGACAGTGTCGGAGAGCACGCGCGACCTCAGCACGTGCTACGAGCTGGTCAAACTTGTAATGGTAAAACGCTAGCAGGTGGACCAGCTTATAGGCGACTACGATACCGTGTGGGGAGCCAAGCGTCTGCTCGATTCGCACTTGCAATGGCCTTGAGACTTCATCGAACGTGCATCCAACCATCGACTCACTACCGTTTCCAGCATCAGAATCTGTCTGTTTCAGTAGTTCGTCAGTAGACGGCAAGTGATGGTCTGAACTCACGCCGTCCAACGCTTCGGTATGAAGCTCTGACAAACCGGTAGCAGCCAATGGACTGAACACCATATCGCCATCAAAGAGCACGCGAAAGAATTCGTTCTCCGTAGCAATAGTCTGGTGAACCCACGCCAGCATGTCACCGCAGTACCGCACGGGATCGTGTGCGTGCATTTCAATCGGTCGTGGAATACCGTGAGGTCCGCCCACCGTCAACGCCGTGAGAAACCGGCGCACGACCAACGAACGTCGTGATGCCACGAAACTCTCTTTGCAGTAGCTGCGTGCAAAAAAAGACAGGGAATCAAGGAGCGCACACACACATATATCGTTAGCAAGAACTAGTCACAGCAAGCAGATGGTGTGACAACTATGAAAACAAAGTCGGACTTGTAAAATTCAGCACGGTCCCTAAGAAGCACAATAGCTCGATGCAGCAGATTGCTTGGTTCTCCGTCGATTTCTGCACAAGTGTTGACAGTCCATTGGTACAACCGCTTGAAACCTGCGTCTTGATACTTGCTAATTGCATCCAGCAGCTCGAGTCTGTGAAGCATATTCTCCCACATAGTCAGAGATTGCTCCACTTGTCACACATGGCATACATTCACCCCTACCCGCAGTGGATTTCATCCGTCGCCACAAGTTCCTTGCAGTCGGCTTTTACTTGTCGAACTCGCTCCAAAGTACTGACAAAAGTGTTCATGTCGTCCTCCATGAGCTCCTCTGCGTACAAAGTGCGCACTTCGTCGTCGGTCAAGTGGTATCGATCCAGAAACGCTTCGACGTCGTGCCACTGCTCGTGCACTTTGTCCCTACGTTCGACACGAATATTGTCCAGTCATGAGCGTACCTTCAACGTCAGCTTCAGATGTAGGCAGCACTCCGAGCAATCATCATAGAACTCACCTTTTTTGTGCAATAGCGGCCGCTTCAGTCTGCACTTGCTGCGTTTCTTGTTTCGTTGTTTCTAAAAAGTCGACAATCTGTGCGCATTTCACATCGAGCGCAGTGACTTGAGCGGCCAAATCTGAAACATGTTCTAAAGTGCGTTCATAACCATCCAGCGCCTTCTGCGCGAGCGACAGCTGCTGCTTCTCAAGACTCGAGCGCAACGTGCGTCGGAGCGAGGCCAATGAAGACGTCTCCGCATTTGCAGACGCGTCGAGCTGCACGAGAGACGTTCCGTCCTCCGTTACGAGTGTACACAGCAGGGACTTGGTGGCCTCTAGCTCGGCGCGGGAGCTCAGGAGCTTGTGCACGCGAGCTTGCAGCGCGGGTGTGGTCATTCGATACTGCTGAAACGCATTAAACATGACAGGAGAGAGGTGTTGGCGCAACGTAAGCAGCAGCCAATCAACGAGCGTCTCGCATGATGCGTACTTTGCGGATCGAACCGACGGAAGTTTTTATTTTTAGGAGAGTGTTGACGTGTGTGTTTTCTCTATTTTCGTGTTTACATGTAATCATTCTAAGCGAAAGTGCGAAAATGACAGACGATTGCAGTGGCTTTTGCTGCAAAAAGGTCACAAAGCTTATCGCTTTTGTTGATGCAAATGACTGTAACAACTCGAAGAACATGTGCAGCTGTTACTTTCCACTGACCAACGACATCGGTAAAATTTATAGCGTCGCGCGCAGCCTGCGATCAACATGTTAGCCGCATACTCATTGCATTCATTCTCAACTATTGCAGAGTTTCCATGTTTGGCCATCACTTGGTCATCAAATTAGCTCGACCAAGTTTGACTTGACGATCGCATTTTATGTAGCGACTAGTTGCATATGTATTCGGCACCCGTCCTCGATTACGGGGGCAGACATCGCGACATGCGAGTTGCAGCATGTCGATTTACTCTAAATAGCATGTCCCGCGAGCAGCAAATTGACTAGCAGATCGATCTTGCTCTTGCGGCAAGACACTGTTCACGTAGTAACGAGTCTTGCGGGAAAGAATGCGTTTCTGAATTCGATGCTTGGTATCGAAAGTCTCACGAGAAACAGCTTGCGGCAAGGCGTATGGCTATACAAAAGTCCGATCGACGCACTTATTGTGACCACTTGTCCACGACCTGACTGAAGGTGGAGCATGCGTATGCGTTATCATATACTTGCCCCGCACAACTATAGCTTGATAGTGTTGTGTATGCCACTCGAGCGGTGTCACTACTCCGACACTCATTTGAGCGAGCAAATGACAAGATTGAGCGCATCATGTCCATCCATAGCACTACTATCTAGCAACACTTCCTGACATTTAATCAAAATAAATTAATCTACCTCAGCTTCTCCAGTATCCTGCTACGCCTGGGCCCTCCGCAATGCCACGGTCTAGACCTTTCGTCATCTGTCATGGCAAGGGGGTACTTAGCAGAGATCATGACGTACTTCCACCGCATCGACCCCGATGTACTGCAAGATTGCTTACTTCTGAGAGCGCCATTACTTTCCGTATGTCTGTAGCACGATTCTTCAATTCCAGGCTTGACGCCTTGAAGCACGACAAATGCTAAGCGCAATTCATGCGACCATCCATGGCGGCATTGGCGATCCTTCACGAGAAGTCAAGTATACGGAGGACACATGGCGTACCCAATGATGTCAGATATTGCATCAATAAAATGTAGTTTATCATGTGCAATATGTATCATACCGTCTTGACGTTGGCTATGGCGCCACTGTAGCTCTTAACGTAACGAATGCAAGTTTGGATTCAGGAATCAGGCTTGATTCTACTGCAAAGTCGTTCGTCAGCCACCATCGATATGCATAAGTAAATGGCAGACGTTGTCGAGGCAATTCTCTATCAAGTGACGGGAAATACTATGCTGCGTCACATCGTGCTTTGCAAGTGTGATGTTTGTGTTGCGATCACCGTCATAGAAAGTCGTTCGTATCGACTTTTTGCCGCATTCTCGTCGTTCGTCGACGCAGTAATCGGATCGAGTGATGATTATGCGTCTGCCCTATTCGGCTGAATGCACATGTTGCGAGTGGGTTTGCGAGCGTGCCAGCCATCTTACGTGATCGAATATAACATGCATAATTAACTTGCTGATTGGGAATCGATGGTGCTGTTGACATTCTAAACTCTACTATACATACATCTTTTCCTCGGCTACCTCCGCGGCTAGGATATGAAGGGCTGAAGACTTGATGCACACTGTCCGTTAGCGCGATACATAGTATGTGTGCGATGCATGCGCACTGCTTCCACAACCGAGCTCAGCACAATTGACATCGCCAAACTTAAACAAGTCCTGGTAGAAAGTGGTGTAAGTACAGACGCCGTGACCCTTTTTACGTGGAACAGCAGCTCTTCCGTACCGTATCAGACATATGAAGGGATGACCACTAGACGACGCACGGTGAATAGCTGTGATGCAAATTAGCTCATCGTGAGCCCACTGGGCACTTATGACCTGCGATTGGCGATCACGGGACGTCGAAGTTGGGTGGACATGTCAATGCGTTACCAGCATGACAATGCTAGCTGGCCACGCCCGAAACATGTACGAAACTAAAAAACACCCGTCGGAAAAGAGCCTTCGATCTAAGATTGGGATAATCTGCCATGTAGTCATCGATATGGCTGACAGTACATTTGTTGTAGATTATGACATGCCGCCAGTGACGCTGTTGGTAGATGACATGGACATCGTCTAGATTGCGTGTGATGCCAAGGACCTGAATTTTTCTTATAAAAGATAGTAGCGATTGCTTTGGGCCAATTGCATATATTGTGACTAGCTCCAAGGGGATGGATATACCGCTAGTTGGAAGCAGCGAGGCATGCATACGGATAGCGGAGTGTGTGAAAGTATGGCACTTGAGAACTATGCGTATATGTGCCTTTCCAAATGACCGATATGTGACACACGTATCCTGGTAGTTTTAACAGGTACCGCACGACAATTAACAAGCGAAGCTGCTCACACGTATCGCATGGCACTCCCTGATGCAGTATCATTGTGGTTTACACATCATCTCGAGTACGTACTCGAAGTTACTTCGAGATTCAGTGCGAGTCTAATGGTAGTTTCGGTCGTTTCTTGCTCGCATCCACAAGCTCTTGTGCGCTTTATAGGTTTTTATACGAAAATCGGCGCAGCGTAAAAGAAATCAAATCAACGAGCTACCGTTAGTCAGGTATGAGCTACGAATGATAACACGATACAAGAACGCAAAGATGACACGTGAGGATGAGACGAGAGGCTGATTGTAAAACCATTGTATGTGAAGCATTTACTGTGCCATGCACAAGACAACAGCACCGCCGACTCGTCTGTGATTTAGGTAGTGCTGACTAGGTGCTGATTACAAAGTGTTACTCGACAGCATTAAGTGTGAGATGGTATGTCAAGTATATTCGATCATTCTTGTGTAGAGCCGCAATAGTAACTTCATGTATCTGCATCGACCTTCCGGTCCTTGTTCCTCCCATTGTAGTCGCTATCCTGGGTTCACCTCGCCACCTCATGTTTCGGCGCAATGATGCAGTTTGCGACAGTTGTATGAGCAAAACATAATCAATGGACGCAAGCGGACCTTTCGAGCATACACCATAGAGTGGACAAAGAGTACGCTGACCCGAGTTCGATAATGTAGTGACCAAAGTGTGAAAGGGGACACGTCCGCAAAGTCTGGTAAAGTACATGCTGGCTTCATCGTCCATACACTTCAGGCCTCAGCTTCGAGGTGAGGATTGACTGGATGTAGACAGTACCTTCGTGTAGTTGAGACACAAAAGGTTGTAGAGATTCTGCACAATGTTGTCTTACGAACGACTGGTGATAACAAACAAAGAACCCGAACGCCGTACAAATATGACGATCGTTGGAAGGACTCGTCATCATCCAACGCGGAACGCATAGCCTTTGAACATGTCGGGTTCGTCGCACAGCTCCATACGCGGTTACTGCACCAGATACGTACAACTTTTTCAGATCTTTCGTGTGAATCATCATCTACAACTAACAGTAGTCCACAAGAGTCGGCCTACCATCCTTGTCGGACACGGCGATCGAGCAGCTACTACAATCCAAATGCACATTGGTATACGCAACGACGTTCAGCATTGTGCCGTATCTGGTACTTTTCTGCTCGTCGTCGCCACGTGATTTCACGAATATCGGCAAAGACGCGACTTTATCCACCTTTCGCCATATCACGGCGAGCCGCATTGCAATTCTATTAGGCGCCTCAACGGACGCGCCGCATAGCAAAGGCAAGTGATCTCGCAAGAAGATCGAGATTTGCTGACCTAGATGACTGACCGACCGTAGCTTCACGTGAAAGTCAATTTCGTCGATGACGTCCACTCTCCACTTAATGCTACAGTGGCACTACTACTTGCACGATCAAGTCGTTCGTTTCTTCCTCACACAGAGGAGCAACGCAGTGCACATGGGACATCTCAACCTCATGACCTCAAGTCAGGCAGCTTCCCAGCTCAGTATGTACGGTAGCCATCGACATTGACATAGCTACGGCAATGTGCTGCCAGTTATGACTTGGCAATATGTATGCTGCAGTGGTACTGTCGGACAAGGCGATGCGTCATGCAAGAGACGTTACCCTCAGCCATCGGTCGTGCGTTTCGGTCGGTCCATCCGTCGGTCGGCAGTATTCGTGGCCGCGCCACCAATTGCAGCCCTGGATCGCCGTCCGTCCTGCCACATTGACGCTTTTGATTGGCTGAAACGCCAGCACTTGATCGCTGTATGTCAAACGTCCACGTGTCGTCCGGCGCCCGCTTCACCCATTCCGCATTCGGGCGCGTTTCGAACAAGACCATCACTCGTTGCATCGGCAACGTCCCGCCGGGAACGGCAACTTCAACGGCAACGGCAACCGCCAAGTGCAACCTCCTCCTCAGCAACGGCAACCGCCACCAAACAGTGCGCGCCAACATGACGACACGCAGTCTCCTGCTGCTCGCGCTGCTCAGTGCCGCGTCGCTCACGCCGCTTGTCGACGCCGTCGTCGCTGGCGTGGACCTCGGCAGCGCGTTCTTCAAGATTGCGCTCGTCAAGCCCGGCACGCCGTTCGAGATCGTGACGAACGTCCACAGCAAGCGCAAGACCGAGACGATGGTCGCGTTCGACGGCGACGAGCGCTTGTACGGCGCCGACGCGGCGACGGTCGGCGTGCGGAAGCCGCAGACGGCCTACGCGCAGATCCGCCGCCTTTTGGGTGCGAAGCGGAGCGACCCGCAGGTCGTGTCGCTGCTCGAGCACGAGCACTTTCCCTACACACTCGTGTCGAACGCGTCGCGGGGCGGCGCCGTCGCACTGCAGCACGCGGACGACGTGATGTTCGACGCCGAAGAGCTCGTGGCGATGGTCCTGACGCACGCGCGGCAGATCACCAACACGTTCGCCCAAGTGCCCGTGAAGGACTACGTGCTGACGGTGCCCGCGTTCTTCTCGCAGGCGCAGCGCCAGGCGCTGCTGGACGCGGCCGAGATCGCCGGTCTCCGCGTGCTGTCGCTCATTCACGACAACACAGCGGCCGCGCTGCAGCTCGCGGTGCACACGAGCTACGACCCGAGCGACGCGCCCAAGCGCGTGCTGTTCTACAACTTGGGCGCGACGGCGCTCCAAGTGAGCATTGCTGCGCTGTCGAGCCAAGTGGTGCCCGACGGCTTCAAGAAGAACAAGACCGTCTCGACGTTCGAGACGCTGAGCACGGCCTGGGACACGGCGCTCGGCGGCGCCACGTTCGACCTGCGGCTCGCTGAGCACCTGGCGGCCGAGTTCAGCGCGCAGGTGGGCCACGACATCCGCTCGGTGCCGCGCGCGATGGCCAAGATCCGCGCGCAGGCCACCAAGACCAAGACCGTGCTGTCGGCCAACGAGCAGATCCCCGTCGTCATGCAGAGTCTGTACAACGACGTGGACTTTTTCACGTCCATGACGCGCACGAAGCTCGAGGAGCTCGCGGCCGATCTGTTTGAGCGCACGCTCACGCCCGTGGAACAAGCGCTCGAGCGCGCGGGGCTCACGGTCGCCGACATTGACGAGGTGGAGCTCATTGGCGGCGGCGTGCGCATGCCCAAGATCCAGCATCAGCTGTCGCAGTTCTTTCAGGGCAAAGACCTGGGCGTGCACTTGAACGGCGACGAGGCGATGGCGCTCGGGGCTGCGTTCCGGGCCGCGAACTTGAGCAACTCGTTCCGTGTGCGGCACGTCGGCATGATCGACATTGCGTCGTACCCCATTGGCGTGCGTCTCTTGGACCTGCCGACGACGGACGACATGAAGAGCAGCAGCAGCGACAACAGTGGAGTGCAACCTGCCAAGCCGTGGACGAAACGCGCGTCTCTGTTCCAGGAGTCGCACCGCCTCGGGCTGCGCAAGTCGGTGTCGTTTACGCACTCGAAGGACATTTCCTGCACGTTTCGCTACGACAAGCCGTCGATGCTGCCAGCGGGCGTGAGTGTGCTCATTGGGACCTTTAACGTCACGGGCATTGAGAAGTTTGCCGCGCGCTTTGCCGACAAGAACTTGGGCGAGCCGAAAGTCACGCTGTACTTTGAGCTTGACAGCAACGGGATCGCGCGCATTGCTAAGGCGGAAGCTACGCTGGAAGAGGAGGTTGAGGTCGAGGTGGTGGTGGCGGCGAAGAAGGACAAGAAGAGCAGCGAGAAGGATGCAAAGGAGGGGAGCAGCGCAGAAGGTGACAGCGACAAGAGTGAGGTTGAGAAAGAGGAAGAAAAGCCTGAGACGAGAATGGAAAAGCAGATGAAGACGCACCGCGGGAAGTTGCGTGTCGTGCGTGATTACGAGGCACGTGAGCTGGACGAGGACATGAGTGTGCTGCCGATGAGCGAAGCGGTGAAAAAGGCATCGATGCAAATGTTGACAGAGATGGAGAATGCGGACAACCGCCGCCACGCCAACTTGGAGGCCAAGAACAGTCTCGAGACGTTTATCTACAAGACGCACGATGCGCTCGCCGCGCACGAGGCGGACATGAAGCAGGTGACGGTGCCGGAACAGATCGAGTCCCTGCAGAAGAAATTGGAGGAAACTGAAGAGTGGCTGTACGACGACGGCGACAAGGTTGAGGCCGTGGAGTACAAGAAGAAGATGGACGCGCTCGACTCGGACCTCAGTGCCATTCTCTTTCGCGTGGCTGAGCTTACGGAACTGCCGGTTGCTATTGATACCGCTCGGGAGTACGCTGCGAGCACGCGCGAGCTGATGGGCGAGTGGAGCACGAGCAAGCCGCAGGTGACGGACGAGGAGCGCAGTGACGTGCTTGAGAAAGTGGATGAACTTGACACGTGGCTGACAGAGTCGGAGGCGCTCCAGAAGACCACGCCTAAACACGAGGAGCCTGTGATGACGTCCACGCAGGTGGCTAAGAAGGTCCAGGGCGTCAAGAAATTCGTCGCTACGTTGGCGAGACGGCCAAAGCCGCAGCCAGTGAAAGTGGACACTGACGAGGCTGACCCGAAAGAGGTCAAGCTGGAGGACGACGAGGGCACGGTGAAGGATGATGCTGACAGCGCAAAGGCACAGGAGGAGGAGCACGGCGAGCCGAAGTCGGACGAGGGGAAGGACGAACTGTAGAAATGGCTGCAAAGACGCTTGTAGGGATGTGAGTGAGGTAACATGAAGCTGCGCACGCGGTGGTTTGTTGACCTTATGTCGCTTGTTTTTTGTTGTTGGTGCGACAAACGCGTGACGAGTGTGTTTGTGTGACGTTTGCAAACTCGCGTTTGCTACGAAAGAGACTCAATCGCATGTTGTGTAGAATCACAAATAAAAATGGAGGCGCTATGTTCTACGACGTAACAACAATTTATCAAAAAAAGTATACGGTTGCTAGAGTGTGCCTATCGACACAGACCTATAGTTCTTACGTCAAGCGATTTCATTTTTCGCAAACTTTTGTCACGAAGCAATCAAAAATTGTGGTTCGATATCATACATTGGGGATTGCGATTTCCACCACACTTTGAGCAAGTTCCACCACAGCATACCTTTTGTTTGATGAAAACAGCACCACACCACCACACATCTTACCACACTATCACATCATGGCCAAACTCACCACACAATCTGTCTTTGCGAATCGAAACGTGCTTATAGATTTTGTCAAGAAGTTAGAACTCGAGGCAAATTTCGCATTCACAATCAAACGATCGGACAACACGCGCATCCATCCGCGTGTGAAGCTATGTAGTAACCTTGACGGCTCATTTCGAAAACGAAAGTCAGTCCTTGTCATAAACAAGAACGGATGTGAAAGCGGGACGCGGTTGACCGGCTGCAGATGGAAAGCAGGTAGATTCCAGCGGTACGATGGATGGCATCTTGATGTATAGTGGAAATAACAAAACGTGTGGTGCCATAGCAATTCCCTTAGTTGTTCGCATCATCTCAAAACGACGTCAGCACTAGAATGTGTATTCCTCACTGACTCATGCGTCGGTTATGAGAGAGCCATTGCCGACACACATTTGCTGGAGGTGTCGAAAGGGTTGCATGAAATCGCCCAGTACGCTATTTGTACTGATATTTCCAATGTGGCGTAATCGCTCAACTTAACAAGACGCGATAGGGTCTGACGACCCAACGGACACCACTTGACGGTCCATCGACATCTAAACGTATAAATACATGGTGAATGGCAAACGGGAGCGGCTGAATCGCTGCACAGCTGATGGTTGTGACTCAAGTGACGTCGTGAACACTACCCGCCAGCCTGCTACGCGTGGCTACCAGGTCTAGTTTGTCTAGGTCAAGATAAGCGCTCCGCTTGCATGTCGACAACACATAGCAGTTATCGCTATGCATTTTGCTTGGAGCACTTCGATCACCTCGCGTAGCGCTTAGCACTTCCAATACTGCAGCACTATACGCAGTGCTCAGTTTCGTACAAGATTGACAGCATCTCAGTCAATAAACATGCGAAGTCCGTGACAGTAGCTGAACAAGAGTTGATCAGTTCGAACTCGTATTTTACAACAAATAAACATCCTTAACGACAAGAACAGCACCCGAATAGCTCCAACTCGTAGGATTGATCGCTTCCACATCCTGCCAGAATCATTGCCAGCATATTTTGTGCTCACGTTGCGACTACATAATATCCCAGTTTAGTGCACACAGCAGTAACGGTTTTTCAGCTGCGCACTGTGCTGTCAGAGCGAATGGGACAGTCAAGTACTTCGACACTCTATCATGAACCGACAAAGGAGTGCTATAGGTCTTGACTGTGTTGCCGATGTGATCGATCAATTATCCATTGGCTACGCCTTGGCGGCGTACATGGAAGACAGCGCCACATTGGTAGACGCAAGAGTGTGTCCTGGCTCACTATCGCTGACCGATGCAGTTGGTTCTTGTCGGCCTCGATTTGATTGTGTACAGGTAAATGACCCAGTCGCCGTGCAAAGATGTGCTTGAATACGTTTGAACATTGTCTTGTGCTTTCGTTACGGCAGGTGGTTTGTACTTCACGGTATTCGACTATCAACACTTTCTGTGTTATATTCATGGCACGGAAATGCTGTGTGAAATGTGCTGTGGTGGTGTCGTGTGGTGTGGTGTGGCGGTGTAGTGTGATGTGGCGGAACGTGTATAATATGTTAAAGGTGTGGCGGAGGTTGTTTAAAGTGTGGTGTGGTAAACCTTGCTAAAAAGTGTGGCGCAAATAGCAAAAGGTGCGGTGCAAATAGCAATTCCATATACATGTTCCATACAAACTGGATCAAGTCGGTGCATGCCATTTGTAGGTAGACTGGAGATCATAACAGTGAGACGTCTTCCCTCAGCAAGCAGAACTACTGTTGCAACCTCCGCAAAGCCATTCATAGCAGACTATATGCTCATGAAAAGATCTCGATTTGGGACATCGACTCGTTGATATGAGAACAAGACAGGTCAATTTTTCCGCTGCATTCTCCGCATGTAACATGCAGGAGAATCCAGGCGACACAAATGTTTGCCTAGTAAGACACACCGAGCTGTGTCATTCCCTTGATTTCGACGGACCTGATAGCGTACAATTTGCCAGTAAAGTATCGCCGTCGCTATCTTGCAGGTGGTACCTGCTGTGTAATAAGGTAGTAAAGTGCTCTGTATCAATCTTTTAGAAGCCGCGTCGCCAAAAGTTTACCGACAATGCGGCATTCAGTAGAGATTGTCGAGGGTGATTAGCTACCAGTCATGACCAATGAAGATAATACAGTGCTGGTCGCGATTACTAGGGGCGATCTGGTGCAAGTTGAGACTGTCGTAGATTTTTCGAGGCTGGCGTCGACTGTTGGCTGGTATCCGGTGCCGAAGGCAGCCGTTGGAGATGATCTGCTGTCGGTCGCGATTACGGGACGCGACCTTCAAGTTGCGGTTGACGACACGGTATTTAAATAAATAGAAGAAGAAAAAGAAGAAGATATCATAATGCAATAGTTTAAGGATAATGCGCAAACTGAGCTAACACTGTGAGTCAGCTGTCAGTGCAGGGGACGATTGTGACAAACCAGATCGATAAATGTAGGCCGCAGATCATGTTACGACCAACAACTATTTTTGCTGTCAGCTTGATTTACAAAATGGGGTGAATCATACACCGAGATACCGGGTCAAGCGATCTTGCACACAGCGATTTTGGAAGCTGTGATCTTCGATGATGCGACCTCGGGTGATGTGATCTTGAAAGACGTTATCTTGGGTGACGTGATATTGGTACTGAGATCTGCAGATGATATGATCACAATGATCTGGCGTGGAACGGCGAATACGATGGAAGAACAAATCTCGACAGTACAAGTCGACACGTGGTAGTCCGTCATAAAGATAGAAAAGGCTTTGTCAATGAAGTTAATACTTTGGTCGATAACATTAAATAAGAAAGCAATTTACTTCTGAATGCTCAAGTGACGTTTTCTTTTCAGGTAGGAGTATTTCGCCTGCCGACGACTGATATCGACTGAACATCAAGAAGATCACTCCTAAGTCACTTCGTCAGGAGAGCAAGATATATCCAAACCTTTCAACTGGAATAGACGTAGCGTGTAACGGGGCACACCCTTGCGTGAACTTAACGCAAGGGTATCGTGCACCGACAAGCGTACACGAGGCAAACGAGGAAGCGGTAGGTAAGACAGAGGCAACACTGTCATAGGGAAAAGTAGAACTGGTATATTAATATAATTAAGTCTTTAAGCACTGTCTCTCTGTTTGACTTAACTTAATTATCCTAATCTAGCTGAATGTATGACGACGTCTACTCACCACTCATTGCGCGCGTCTTGCGGCGATTGGTGGGTTGACATCGTCGAGATATCAACCAATGAGCAGACTCTTTGGTCGACCCATCAATATCACCACCATTGGTTATATTGTTAAAAGAATATTCAACATAATATTCTTTATTGTCATTATCTTTTAAATGACAATTTTCATGTAACGGGCTGCCCCGTTACAAGTATCAACCCCCGCTGCGTCGGTGCTTTGTACCAAAAGACGGTATACGGGCAGGTTGTAAACAGATACTATACAAGTCGGGGCCCAGCGAATGGTGGGACGCATGCTACCAAACTCGTTGGGATGTGAAGTTCATACGTGCATGAATTGTTCATTTCTATCAGGACGTTGTTTGAGCTCACCGTGTATGACTCAGCATCTGAAAAACAAAGGGGCGATATCATAGCATCAGCACGATCTACACCTGACGCGTGATCCGATCCCTCGTGTGTGAGCTTTGCTGTCGTATCAACAATCTGCACTAGTAAACTGTACTGCTTTGCTACCTGCCGCCTTAATTTACAGATAAACGGCTCAGCCAGTTGTTCATGATCGTCCAAAATCGTAATGTATTAAGAAGATCAACAATCAGTGCAAACTAGGTTACTAGGAGCCTGCTCTACTTGACACAGGGGGCTCCTTTTACCGTGCAATGACAGCAAGAAAACGTACATGAATGCTCACAACACGAGCGCGCGTGGTACATGAACGGACATGCTCTTACGAAAGCCGCATTTACCAGATCAAATCATTATTTGAATGGCCAAGCCTTTTCCAACTCTTTCGGAAACTGAGTGTCACTGAAGGGCACCTTGTCTCCATCCGAGTTAAAAGCGTTGACCGCATCGCGAGCCTCTGGCGTCAGCTGTTCCCACATGATCAGCGGCAGGGAATCACCAGAATCCTCAGTAAGTCTGAGCGCGTGAGTGCCTTTGCCGTTCAACCTTGCATAGCTGAGTTTGACACTCGTCCCGTTCAGAAATTTCGAGTCTGGTACAACCGTCTTCGAGAACCTATGGCCTTCCGACAACGACACCGCCAGCACCACGTTGCTCGTGACAGGATTTTCAAGCCACACAATGGCCTGCTCGAAGCCGTGGCGACGGCCGATAAGACTAGACGGCGAGTCTTTCGGGAAGTAGTAGACGTACATGATGGCCCATTTGTTGTTGTACCAATCTGAGCGTCCGTAGACTTGAGACCCATGCCCAGATCCCTTGCATTGGCCATCCGAAGGTCCCGTATTGTCGAGACCGCCGCTAATCTCACCAGCTGCGTTCACGAAGGGGTACGAGGCGCATCCGTCAGTAATGTGG